TAATTAATTCCTATTTTTATGTTAGTGGAGTCATAGAGTCAATTTCTTATTTTTATTTTAGTGGAGTCATGGTGTAGTAAGTTATGGATTCATGGAATATTTTAGTGGAATTATTTCCATTTCTTTAGGCTTAAGAAATTAAGCACTAGAAATTCTATTTCCTATTTAAAGAGTAAGTTTGAAGTCAAAAAGTCTTCTACTTCAATTCAATATAAGTACTGTGTCAAATTGCTTCTCTTATATTTTTATCTGCTTTAATTCTCCATTTTGTTTACTCTACAAAGTATCCTGTTTGAGCGTAGTTGCAATATAGAAGGCCAATTTCCAACAGTTGAAATAAAAATGTCATGCTCTGTTTGTTGAATTTGAAGACCAAGAAAATAATGCAGCAGCCCCAAATCGGTCATATCAAACCCATGCATCATGTTTCTTTATATTATTTAATAAGAATATTATTAGAACCGGTGTATATAATGTCATCCATGTAAATTCAAACAATAAGCACATCATTACCGATCACCTTCACATACAAGGTAGGCTCGATGTCACTTCGAAGAAAACCATTTTGTCGAAGATAGGAATCAAGTCTGCCATGCCAAGCTCTTGGTGCTTGCTTGATATCGTAGAGAGTCTTCTTCAACTTATAAACTTTATCTTCCTTGTCATCAATAAAAAAACCTTGTGGTTGATTTACATACAAATCTTCATCCAAAACACCATTTAAAAATGCAAATTTGACATCAAACTGATAAATATTCCACCTCATTTGAGCTGCTAATGCCATAATAATTCTCACAGTTTCGAATCTAGCAACAGGAGAAAACATTTCAAAATAATCAACCCCACACTATTGTATGTACCTTTTGACAACCAGCTTTGCCTTGTATTTCTGCTGACGGGATTTCTGCACACTCTCATCAGCATCATACTTCTCCTTATAGACCCACTTCATGCCAATAGCATTCTTCCCTTGTGGCAAGTCCATGAGCTCTCATGTGTTGTTTCTTTCAATGGCCGCCATTTCCTCCTTCATGGATTTCTCCCATTCTTCATTTCCAACAGCTTTATCATAACTTGTGGGCTCTACAACAATAAGAGAATAAGTGGATGTATAAATTTCTCTCAAGGACTGAAACTTCCTTGGAGGAGTTTCATTGTCAGGGGATGATTGACCATCACTGCTTTCAGACTCTAAAGAAGTAAAGGAGGATTGATTTGAGGTTGTTAGGCTTTGTATTGGAGACGATAGAGGTGACATCGTCTGCTCCCCTACTTGTACTGATTCTGGCAACACTTGCATAAGGGGTAAATGCTGATTTTCTTCATTGTTCCATTGCCACCTACTACTTTCATCAGACACAACATCTCTATGAATGATTAACTTCTTTGTGTTAGGATTATATAAATGATAACCTTTTGTTTCATCATTGTACCCCACAAAGATACACTTTTTGCTCTTCTTATCCATCTTAGCACGATCGCTTGAGTCAATTAAAGCATATGCAACACAACCAAAAAATTTCATACCACTTACATTGGGCTTAATCTTCCATCATGCCTCATAAGGTGTCTTAGTTCTCACTACCTTGGTTGGAGAAATGTTGAGAAGATGAACTGACGTAGGTACTAGTTCAGACCAGAAATCATTGGGTAGCTTTTTCTCAATTAGTAAACTTCGTGTGATTTCTACTACCGTTAGATTTTTCCTCTCGACAATGTCATTTTGCGCTGGAGTTTTCCTCACTGTCGGCTACCTACAAATGCCAATTTCTTTGCAAAACACTCATTAGATAAAAATTCTCCCACTCTATCTGTTCTGAGAGTTTTGATTGCATAGCCACTTTGCTTTTCTGCAAAAGCTTTGAACTCCTTAAACTTTTCAAATGCCTTTCATTTCTGACCAAGAAAAAACACCTAACTCATACGAGAAAAATCATCAGTAAACAAAAAAGAAATATTTATTCTTGCTCAAAGATAACGTTCTCATTGGCCCACAAATGTCAGCATGAACCAACTCCAAAGGCATCTTGGCTCTCCAAGCCTTCCCAACTAGAAATGCCAGCTTGTGTTGCTTTCCATAGACACAACACAGGTTCCGAGTACTCACCTAAAACCCATAGAACCGAAATCAGAACTGGTCGGTTTCAGGTACTTGGAAAAATTTTATTACCCCTATTATTCACAAAAATGACAAATACACCCCCAAAAAATTATAATACACCCCAAAAGTTTACAAAAATTCTTGAGTCTCGGTTTCAGTTCCTGCAGTGGTGGAACCAAAACCAAAACTGCACAATATCAATTTTGATTTTTTAGAACTAGAACCAACGTTGTGAGGGTCGGTTCCGGTTAACCCTGGGTACCCGTTGGTTCTGATTCTATCCTATTTTTTTTCCTAGCCCTAGTTAATATAATGAGCCAAGGAAGCTTGAGTCATTGTAGAACTATGTGTTCTCATAATAGAAGTTTGAGTAAACAAAAAACTCGTAGTACTAATCTATGGAGGATTAGGTTCACTAGTATCTTGGATGAACTAGGAAGTGTATTTGACTTAGACTCCTATTCTGAAATGAATACAGGCTGATAGGCTAGAGCCTAGTTTAGCTTAACCTATAGAAAAGCCCAACTGGTGGAGTAGCTCAAAGTGTAGGTTGGCCTAATTCATAGGGTGACCTTGATCGTAAAGTGATTTAACTCGTAAAGTAGTCCAACTCGTGGAAAAGGCTGACTCATGATGTGGACCAGCTCATAGACTAGGTCGGCCCATAGAATGGATCTTCTTACAAAATAGGTCATCTTACTAAATGGTGTTTCCACAAGATGGATTTAAGTGTGGGCCCAACCGAAATTGGGCTATGGCATTAGGTCGTATAGTGCTTATTTCATTATTTGGTCCAACAAGGTCCAGTACGATTTTTAGCCTATATAGTTTTCTAGTCACAACCTGATTACAATGCTGACCTTTTCTCTAAAAAAGCCTAAGCTATGAAGACGTATGTATCACTTTGACTGAAATAAGGGAATACACATTACACTACGATTTTAAATGAGAACTCATTTTAAGAAATGGTAGATTTATTTATTTTATCAATAACCAAGCGGGATGTATCATATAATGTACCTTTAGGTCACCTATAGTGACCAATACCTTCCTATTGGTGGGTATCGGTCATCTCTTGTCATCTTCAATCTTGGGACTACTCTATGATCCATACCACTGTATCGACTAATAGGCAATCCCAGGTTTCATCAAAAAAACATTAAAATCCTTTGATTTTTAACATCCCCAATTAAAATTAACCAAAACAACAAACATTAACCACTCACCTACATAAAATACCATAATTAGTATGTTTCTTATACACCTTTTTGACTCCAACACAAATGTAATTTTTTTTTTTTTTTCCCAAAGGTCTCAATAAAATCACATAACATCACCTCCATAAAATTGGAAAATTTAATTATTTGGTAGAGATTGTAGTTATGGAGAATGGGTTAGATAGATGTTGAGGAAGAAGTTAAAGAAGTGTGTATTGGGAGACAATTTCATCCTTCAAAATTAGAAAAATTGGGTTGTGCTATTTTACAAGATATTTTCCTCTTTCGGCCTAGTTTTCATTTCACACCCTAAATAATTTCTCTTTTTAAAATTGTAATTGAAACTAATTTTTGAAAATATTTTAACAAAATGCATATTTAAAGATTTCTTATGTTCCTTTATTTTTTGCAAGAAACGAAATTTGAATATTATATCACATGGTGGCTCCTAAATTTTGTAACAATGATTGAACTTTATATACTTTGCTTCCATTTAGACACAAAAGGCAATCGAAATAAATTATAAAATATTAGGTATAATTTAAATTTGTCAACTAATCTTGCCAAAGAAGTGGTAGTTAGATAACTAAGAAGTGAAGTATTTTAATCATCAATTTAAAAAAAGTTTTACGCTAGGAGATGATATATTATTATAAATCACTGCATTTTTATTATAATTTAGAGTAGATCTATTGGCGTCTCACTGATGGACTAAAGAACCCACTTTTAAAGATTTTTATAATAATAAAATTAATTTTAATTTTCTTGTCTTTACAAATATTTTTGGTACTCTACTATTATCTCATAAACCCTAATTGTTTTATGTTATTCAAATCAGTCTTTTAACAAAAAGATAATTAATGGAGAAAGAAGATTTGCTATGAGATATATCGAGTTATAATCAATAAAAAAAAATGTAAGTTTTTGTTGCTTGTTAATTTTTTTTTTTTCTAAATTCAAGTAATATCTGTGATGAAATATTAGTTAAAAAAAAATGGAGATTTAATGTTTACTAATAGTGAACATGGGTTTATGTTATTTTATTTTTTTTAAAGAATTATTTATTTGTGTATACTACTAAAAAAAATAATTGAATTTACTCTTTTAAAATATAAAATAAAATAAAGGGCATTTAAGGAGTTTATGGGGTGTCATAAAAAAAAAAAAAAAAAGAGTTAATTTTAAAATATTGAAATAAGGTGTCTTGAGAGATGAGGCTCTTGTAGATCTAGTTCTAGTTCATTAGTGGGGTGTCTCGAGAAATGTGTATAATTTATGTTTATTAACTCTTTCACAAGGTCCATGGGCTGGATCGTTTGGGATTGGGACTAATTCTATTGAACCCAGAAGGCAGAAGTGCTCATTTCAATTCAACATAATGATAAATCACGTAAGATTAAAATTCGAGGGTTCAAATTACAAAATGCCTCTGATTTTTTTATAATAAATTTTCATTAAATACGCCTAACGAATTTATGTTATCAATATATAAATGTAAACAATAGGTTATAGTAACTTTTGTAATCAAATTTATCCATAAAAATTACTAAGAAGCCATTTTTGTTAATAAAAAACCCAAAAAAAGAAAGTAAAGTTTTATCAAACTGATAAATTCTAATTTTTTTATTAATAGGGATGTTGGAGAGGCAACAATAATAATATTATCCGGGACCTCTGTAATCTTATTTGTAAAGCAATAATATTCATAAAAATGAATACATATAAGTATAATATATACTAAAAATTAAAGAATTAAATCACGAATAATGTGTATGATTATGAACGTACGTCTATATCTCAAACCCCAAGGCCAAGCTTAATGCCGGACATTATGTAAGCACAAACAAACATCTCGGGCAATAAACTTCCCACACAAAATCATCAAATAAAAATAAAAATAAAAATACAAAAATAATATCTAAAAGACTAAAACCCCAGCCACCACGAAAGCAGTGAGACCCCACCATGACCCCACACTGTAGGCCCCACTATCACTGGTTTCCCTCTGTTGAACCGACGTCGCAGTTGTACCGTTGTAATTGGGATTACTTCCGTACAATGCCTGGATTCCCTCCACGTCGTCACCGGCCAATTCAACCTTTCTGGTTCCTGAAGATATTGTTGGGTACATTATAGCATCTTCAACCGACGAATGTCCCAACCCCAACAAGTGTCCGATTTCATGAACAGCAACTGATTCAAGATCCACGGCTGAACTCAACGTCGACGTTGTGATATCACTGGAGATCACCCAGTTCTCCGCGCTGTCCAAGTGGAACCGTCCACTTGGCGGCGAGAACGCGTGTGCCAAGGTTCCAAGAACTCCATCAAACGGCTCTCCGTCGCCGTGATCTCCGCTGAAGAATCCGATTTTGATATCGGCGCTTGTGTAATCATCGCTTAGATTGAAAGTCATCGGGATCACCTGTGACCACTTCCCGAAGGCGTTTGCAAAAACTTGCTTGACGTCATCAGTCAATTGGTTTTCTGGTACGAACCCGTATGTTAGATCACGCCGGTTTGATGGCCAACGGGGCGTGCCGGGAAAGTAACTGTAATGGCCAACTGTGTGGAGATGACTGGTGTTATTCGACACCGGTTTGCCTGAGTTCATGGTTGTTGTGCCGTTGACTATGTCAGCATTGCCACATCTGGGCCGTAGGATTTGTTGAATGGTTTGACTATCGAGTTGACCGGTGGGTTCAAGATTGAAGTTTTTCTGGTAGGTCTTAATGGCCGATTCCAGGGAATCATCAAAGTCGTCAGTGATGTTTGAGGGCAACTCTGGAATGTAACCGAAGTAGTGAAAATACTGCTTCATCTTGTTTAAGCCGTTGATCTTGTCGCCAGGACGACAGCCCGTGAAGTTCTGGAACTCGTCCCACGCGGTCTTCTTGGTGGAGTTGGGGCGTAACCATGAGGGGATTGACGATATGTTGGGGAAGAAATGAGCTGAAATCAGAGCCGGTGAAAGTGAAATAACTATAATCGCAGTTACTAAAAGATGATGATATCTCATCTTCTTTTTCTTGAAGGAAAAGAGAAAGAGAGTTTAAAGACCAAAAAAAGTATCAGAATTCGAACAAAAATGTGATTTTCTCGAGAAAATTGGAGATGTGATTTCTTGATGAAATGGTAAGAAAGAAGAATATATTGTTCAAGGCCGGCGCCAAATTATTTCATTTAAGTCTTCGTCTATAGAGCTGTTGAAAAAACGTGTTGACAAGTTTGAAATGTTCCTCTCTCTGTTAGATTACGTATAAAAATAACATAATATAATAAACATTATGAACAAATTGAACATAAGCAACTACGACGCCTTAGAGGAAACTATAAATGTCGCTGGTGAAAACGACGACAATACCAGAGTATTTTGACAAAAAAATTATATTTTGTAATGTCAATGGTGAAAAGCGATAGGAGAGAGCTGGGTCAAAGTCGGAGGTTGAGAGGCTTCTATCATTGGTTGCGTGAACAGAAATTGAACTTCCCTGGAAGCACACATGGAATGAAGCTACTGGTTCATATAAATGAGAATAAAGAACTATGAAACTGGAATGGCGTCAGATTTAGATGTCTACCCCGGACTTGATTGTATACAAATTCTAGAACGGTTATTTATTTCAAAGTTTCAAAAAATTTCATTATGTCGGTCAAGCACGAAACTTTATATTTAAAGAAAGAATTCTAATTAGTGATACGACAATCCGTGATTCAGGTTATGTTCACCTCTAAATGTGAGAAGATATTAAGCCCTCAATTGACATTTAGGGAATTTACAAAGAGTTCACACACTTTTTTTCAACTAAATAATAGTTTAATAACACTTTCTCACACGTAATTTTTTAAAATACCATTTTATTATTTAAATTTATATTCCGATGATGAACAAAGAGCAAACTCGGTATAGACACAGACTGTAAGAGCTTTTGAAAAAGAAAAGTCGATGAGTCTTTTGATGATGAAATATTAGATTTTGGTAGTTAGGATTGATCAAAATTTGACTTGGAAGGAACGACTATACAAACTCTAATATCTCGAATATCCGCGATTGGGGCGATCGATGGGAATAAAGTTTGAGAGGTTTTGATGAGTGATGATCGGAAAATAGAATGATGATAATGTGGGGTCGTAATAATGTCGAAATTAGAAATAAAATCTAAATTTAGATAATAAAATTATATTTTAAAAATTTATTGATGAAAAAATATTATTAAACTATTATTTAGGTGAAAAAATATTATTTACTCATTTACAAATCATTGTTATGAACATGTATTATAATTATTTAGAGCTTGTAAAAAATGTTATTAAACTATTATTTTGGTGAAAAAAAGTTATTTACTCATTTACAAGTCGTTGTCATTGAACATGTATTATAATTATTTGGAAACTTTGCAGGCTCCGTCATTTTCTCTCAAGTGGGACGTGTTTATAATGGGTGCCCTTTCGGCGGTATCCCATGCTCAGTTTGTGCTTTTAAGAAGCTTTCAAGAATTTGTCCTTTGTCGAGAAACTAATCCAATTAGTAACCCAAAGAGGTGAAGTTGTGAAGAATTTTATCGGCAAATGCTTTTAAGAATTTAAAACACAAAGAATTAGCTGTTCTTGACTATGAAATCGTCAAGATTGACAATTTAGTGGCCAAGAAATGTTATTTTAAATAATTAATCAACAGGGTATTGGAACTATTTTCTGGCGGTAGTTAAAACAGTTAAGCTTAATTAATAATAATAAAAAAAAAGAATAAATAAACAATGGTTTTGCATTCGTTAATATCGTGATTCAAACAGCTAATGACAATAATTGTGGCATACGATATTCTCCCATAACTATGTAGCAGTACTGCAGTATTGCCGGCCGTTGGAATCAATCAATCAAATCTTTTTTTTTTTTAAATTAAAATTCCTTATGCAGATATTTGGGCGTATGAGGATTGGGTCTATAAAAATATTTTATTATTGAGAATGGTATATTAAAAAAAAAAATTATTTTAGAGATTATTAAAAATATTTAAGAAAATATATTTGATTAGTTAGAATAAATTGATAGGTATGTTATATTAATATGTTTGGTTGAAATGAATAGATTGATGAATATATTATTTAAATTATTAAATTGTCATATAATTAAATATTATTATTTAGATTATTTATAACTCCCTGTATTTGAAAACTTAACAAAAACAACATTATGATAAAAGTTTAAAAAATTAACAATGCTCTCCCACTAACCCAGCTATTGTCGGCAATGCTCTGAAACCTGAACCTGTATTTAAAAAGAGGGAACGACATACAACCACCAGAGTTTGCTGTAAAGACAAGTTAGCACCCAAAAAGTTTTGAAATGATAAATACCCACTTTTCGTCCAAATTTGTTAGCAAATCTGTTAACTAAAATGGTATTATCAATATTCTATCATTTTTGTAGGGTAATTTTGAGTATTTATGTTTTAGGGTTTGTGCATAAAAAAAAAAACAAAAAAAAAAAATTGCATTAATAAAACATTAAAAAAATCCATCCAAATCTCTTATCTTTCTTCTTCTTCTTCCCCTTCTCTTTCTCTTATCTTTCTTCTTCTTCTCTCCCTTCTCTTTCTTTCCTTTCTTCTCCCTCTTTTTCCTCCGGTCACTAGGCAAGAACCCAACATCAAAATATGGACTAGAAGCTGGCCAGATCGAAAGCCTTTCTCCTCTCTCTCTTCCCGTCTTCATCTTCTTCATCTCTCCCATAAAAGGGCAAAAAGAAGGGGGGTCTTTTGCAAAGCTGTCACACTTCCCCACCCATTTTCCGAAAGCCCCGTCACCAAAAACCTTTCCTCTCCCCGCCAATCATCTTTTCAGTGTGCCCTCTCCAAAACCCCCATTTTTCCCGTCGCTGTTTGCTCACATTTCACCGTCGATTGAATTCCTAAGGTTTTTGTTGTTTGTTGAATTGGGATTGATTGGTGTTTTTCAAAGTTTCTTATGGGAAATTGATGGTTGGAGATTAATTGGGAGTGTTTTTTCTGTGTTTTTGTTTTATTTTTTGGGGATTTCTGATCAGTTTTGGCATTGATGATTGATTTTACAAGTTTTGGCCAGTGTTCTAAAAACCGGATCGGATCATCTGGTCGGATCGGTTCGACTGGCAATCGACGGCAAATCTGGTCCGGTATATATAAAAAACCGCTATTTAAAGTTAAACCGGATTGGACCGCGGTTGGACCGCCAGAATAGTGCCGAATCGCGGTCCAATCACTGCCGGATTCTGACATCTTTCGACGGAGAAAACACCCTCATTCGACGGACGGCATCTCCACGACCAAACCCATCCATTTTCAGTCGCCATCGTCCAGCCTTCGTCGATCGCTGTCCACCTAAAGTTCAAGACTTTACGCGACGTCGGATTTCTTTCGTTGATTCCGGTGAGTTCCGACGCCGATGGAACTCCGTCGCACCACCATCTGAGTCGCCGGCACCTGCACATCAAAAGCCCCAAGATTCCAGCTTCGATTGGCCGTCGATCGTCGCTGCTGCCACACTCACCAAAACCTTCACGTGACAGGGGTGTTTTAGATAGATTTCAAACCTTAAGGGAGTATTATAGGGGTGTTTTTGATGAATTTCAAACTTTTAGGGACTAAAAATAATTTTACAAATTACGGTCCAACCGACCGATCCAACCGGTCAAACCAATCAAACCAAAAACCAGACCCTTGAATGGGTCATTGTCCGGTCTGGTTTTTAGAACATTGGTTTTGGCACACCACTTATTTGAGGTTTTGCCCCAACCCTTCTGTGTCTTGCGTGTTTTGGTTCTTTTGAGTGTTTGAGAGTGGTTCTTCGGGATTTTTTGCATTGAATCTTTTGGTGATTTGAGTGAGTTTTTTTTGGGGTTTTGGTTGATTTTGCTGGTTGTTGTCCTGGTTCTAGCGAGATATGAAGAAGATGAAGACGGAGTTTTAATTAAAATTAATTATAAAAGTAAAATCATTAAAATTGAGAAGGAAGATTTTTATAAAATTAATATTAAAAGAGAGAAAATGGACACGTGACCAATGCAGAATGTTATATTTTTTTTGTTGGATGTAAAATTATCATGTTGTCCTTCTTTAAACGAACTTTACTAACAAATTTAGACAAAAGGTAGGTAATTAACGTTTTCAAACTTTTGGGGCACCAAAGTCTCTTATAGCAAACTATGGGTGGGTGTATGACATCAGCAATTTTATATCTATATATTATATATATTTATCTTTTCCAACCTACCATCTCATCTTCACTTTATTCTTCTCACCCGTCACCTTATCTTCTCTGTCTTTTTCTTCTTCTCACTTGTCACCTCATCTTCTCTTTCGTCTTCTTCTCATTCAACTTTTTTTTTTTTTTTTTTTCTTCTCTCTTTCTCCCCCATCATCTTCTCTGTCTTTTTCTCCTTCATTTTATTTTTTCTTTCTCCCGGTCCTCCTCTTTCTTCTTTAAAGATTAGATTTTGCTATTTTGAAGTTGAAAATGTCGAATGAAGAAGGGGAGATGGAGTAAAATGGTTTTAGGGATTTTGATTTAGTGGACCAGATATGTTGTCAAGCCAGTTTGACCAGTGGTCTGACACTATTCCACTAGTCCAATAACAGTTTAAAACGGTCTAAATAACAAATCTGGTTTTATTGTATTAGTAAACCAGAGTTTTAAACTAAACTCGATCGGACCAATCTAACTGGCTGGTTTGGTCCGCTTTTCAGAATATTGACTGTCAGCTATCAGCAACCATTGCTGGTCGTCGGCAGCTGGCAACCTAACATCGCACGGAAGGCCAGAAATGGCCCTATCGAAGCACAGAGGCCATTTCCGGCCAGAGATCTAGTCGAAAATGGTCATATCAATGCATGTAGGCCATTTTCGGTCTTCCGTGCATTGTTAAGTTGCCAACTGCTGGCAGCCAGCTTATGGAGGCCATTTTCAACCTTTTGTGCGTTGTTTTGGCGGCGGGTGGTTGCTAGCAATGGTTGCCAAGGGCTGGCAACGATAGGTGACTAGGGGTGGTAGCTTGGTTGGGCTACAATTTATTTTGAATTGTAAAAGTTAGATTCATGTAAATTGATTTTAATACAAGGGCATTATTGTCCAAAAAATTTATTAATAAGGGATAAAATTGTAACAAAAATAAAATAACCACGTAATCTTACAATACCTAATAAAATGAAGATTATCATATTATCTCCAATATCACCAACAATAACTACTATT